TGAATATAGCTCTGCAGAAAGACAGAATTATTGACCCATTTTGTACATGAACAGGAGGAAGCTCTGCATTTAGTAGCAGGAGCCATGAGCTCACAGTGTATTTCAGAGCTGATCTCAGACTGGGAACTACTTCAGTCATGTTCTTCATCTGTGATCCCGCTTCCTGCTCACTTCATACAGAAAGATTAAATGCTTATGAGGAATTGGGGACAGAAAACAGGGACCAGCCTGGGCTGATGGAGGTTTGAAGTTCAAATGACTAACATCATGATCAGCTGCCTCTTTGAGGCTTTAGCAGAAGACGTTGTGAAATGCCTTCACTCTGGGGTTGAGAACCAAGGCCCTCCCACCACTTCCTGTTCCTTGGTGTGACTTTCAGAGAAGTCTGTTCCGCATAAAGGCAGCATTGCTGAGGCCAACGGGCCAGAGAGGACCCAGAATCATGTCGGTGGTTCTTCCCACTCTGCTCTATCTCGGTGAGTCTGGACAGAAGGATCGGGGTGCAAGCACAATGTTACTGGGGCAGGTTGGCGGTTCCATAAGGCTGGGCTGGCTATTCTCCAATATGAAATGCCTCACAGACATGGAGAACAGACTAAGAGTTGCCAGAGGAGAGTGTTTGGGGACCGAGTGTGTAAAGTTGAAGGAATTGAGAAGTATAGATTAGAAGTTACAGAATACTCATGGGGGTGTAGAGTACAGCATAGAAAATATAGCCAATAATATTGTATGGTGCCAGGAGGGTACTGGACATAGAAAGGGGAAACACTTTGTAACGTATATGATTTTCTAACCACTAAGTGCCCACCTAAAACTAATACAAAATAATAGTGAATGTAAACTGTAATTGAAAATTTTAAAAAAAATTTAAAGCCTGAGCTGTTCTCACCCAATGTTTCCTTCCAGGGTTGCATCTAGCCCAGAGCACCCAGGCTCAGAATGGTGAGTATCCTTTTAATGTTCAAGGGCTGAGTAGGGTTTGACTAGATATCAGCTCTCTTGGGGGCTGGGAAGAGAGGTCTTGGCATTTAGACTTGTGGCTGTAAAAGGGGAGGAAGTGGAGGATGGCATGAGAAACAGATACACCTGTAAATTTGTTACCTGTTTTTCTAGGATATCTCCCCCCACCTGTTATCACAGCTCAGCCTGGACCCATGGTTCTATCTAAGAAACCAGTGACCATCCTGTGCCAGGGGTCTCCAGAGGCTGAAGCCTATGAGATATATAAAGTAGAAGAACCTGAGCCTAAGAATGGAAGGAAATTACCGCTGGTTGGGGAGACCAGAACTTTATATATCCAAGAGATGAAACCAGACCAGACAGGACTGTATCGCTGTTCCTATAAGAGTGGAGGACACTGGTCCCCGCTCAGTGATTCCCTGCGTGTAGTGATGACGGGTGAGTGGGACCCAGGCAGCAGGGCCGGGCGGGACCTCTTTGCAGAGGGAGAACCAGGCTCTGGGATATGGAGCAGGAAGCAGCAAAGCCTCTGCCTCTAGAAAGGCATCAGGGATGATGCAGGGACACATTTCCTCAGGGTGGGACATGGATGGGGGTAGAAGCCAGAGCCACATCTGTTCCTGGGGAACAGGAAGGCACAGGACATGGCTTCCCCATTATCAACAAACTTCCTTCTTTCTCAGGAGCTTATGACAAACCCTCACTCTCCAGCATGAGTGGCACGGGGGTGGCTTCAGGAGACAA